TCACTCACTCATTCACCCATCCCTCACTCGCTCAACTCACACATCCACTCACTCGCTCACTCGCTCAGCCACCCATCCACTCACTCACTCACTCACTCACTCACTCACTCACTCAGGTCACTCACTTACTCACTCATCATTCATCATTCACCCATCACTCACTCGCTCACTTCACTCACACATCCACGCACGCGGCTCACTCACCACCGCCTCGGCTCACTCACTTGTTCATTCACTCACTCAAACTCATTCACTCACTCACTCAAACTCACTCAAACTCGCTGTCGCTCGATTACTCACTCGATCATTCACTCGCATTCACTCACTCGCTGCTCTCACCCCGGCCACATTCAATAAACCTACAGGACAGTAGTTTTCCCATATTTTTCTCCTTAGCTTGGATGTGCGTTCTGTGCGTGTGTTCGTTGCCTGAGCGAATTGACATTGAAGCGAAGCGATGACCTTGCCCTAGGCAGTTCTTATCGACCCAGCCAATCCGCAACCAGTGATATCTCAAGTTTGTCGTCGCGCGTCTCACAACGATTCAGTGGCAAGGCGCCGAACAACAGAACTAACGCAAGGGTCGATGGGCAATCGCATTCCGCCAGAGTAGCGGTTACTGGTTATACGAAGGCCAAATATTGATATAGCAATGCTCTATGGTCGTGATTAAAAAAAAGTCAACTTTGCCGAGTAAGACAGATGCACAGTGATGGTGACAAAATGTTATTCGTTTTGGAAGCGAGTATTGTACATCGTGGATTAAACTTGAGCTTAGGTTGTTGCGTAGAGAGGGGATTGTAAAAAGTCTTTGAATTGAGGGAAGTTTTCGATTTCATTAATGGCGTTTATGCGTTGCCACGCGCTCAGAATTGTAGTTCCTACAGAGTATGCAGTATCAAGTAAATGGCGGCCGTCCTTGCCTGCGCGGAATATGTCACATGCACTGTCTATCTATACATGCGCTTATCCTCCGTGAAAATTATGTATTTAGAGAGTTACGAATCAAAAAGTCACAGCCGAAGAGTAACAATAGTGCCCAAAGTCTGTGGTAGATTTACAATTTGTGGTTTTCCATTGAAGATTGTATCAGCAAGAGGTCTCACAATATTAGCTTATCGAAGTAATTTCGTAGCATTAAAATGCTTGTGAAAATAGTCAACGTCAAGAAACGATTTTTGTGGGTAGAAGAAAGTTTGGCCGGCGTTTATTTCCCTTGAGCAGGAATCATCATTTGAAAAAACTCGCTTTGATGGTTATAAGAGAATAGGGGAGCCAGAGTTTCCTTCGTGGTTTATTCCGAGAATTAGCGCCTACATTAAATATTTAGTGGGCTTTCTATGTTAGAAATGAAATTATTAAACATTTCTGCAAGAACGGTTTATACCGGAAAGTATCAGTATCACATGCTATAGACTCCTCTACAGTATCGTAAATTATTTAAAGCTAAGCGCCTGCTATTTAGCAAGGTAGTCTGGAGAAGAAATTGAAACCAGGATTCCCGAGGTCCCACGTGGCTTCCAGTTCGTCACTGATTTTTTCATTGAAGAAGATCCATAGTTGTTTTTGGTCCGCAGTTTCCTCATCTTCAGGCACTTTTGTTCGTCAAACGTATGGTACTTTCTACCCACCATAGATCATGGCAGATGCCTTGCATATGTTATCATGTTATATATCTTAAGGATAAGTTTTAAGATAAATTTCTAAGGTGGGTTTTTAGTCCAGGCTACAGAGGTGCATATCAATTCCATGCACCAGCGGCCGCCACCATCCCACCAGCAGCAAGCAGCGAGACAGAGCAGTAGCAGCAGTAGCAGCCAGCAGCAGCAGCAGCGCAGCCACCAGACACCAAGCAGCAGTCTAGCAGCAATAGCAGCAGCAGATCTAGTAGCGCAATGCAGTATGCAGCAGCAGAGCAGCAGCGCAGCAGCAGCAGTAGCACGACCCACCCACCAACCCGACACCACCACCCCACCATCACCCCACCGCCACCACCATCAACAACAACAACAATAGCAACACCCCTCTCGCCTCCGCTTCATCCTCCGCCTTCTACTTCTCCTGCTTCTGCATCCTCCTCTCTCCCCCTTCTCTTCCTCCACCACCACCCACCACCCCGCTGCTAGCACTAACAGGGAGCTTTGCTTGTGTGTTTGCAGGAGGAAGGAACGTCACCGTGTCCCTGCAGTCGCGCACGACGGCCACACCCACATGGTCGGTCGGTCGTCGGCATGCTGGTCTTCCTGCAGTTCTGGTTCTGGTTCCCGCTGGCACACTTCCTGAGTCTCGCCTTCACACCCACCTGTCTCGTCGGCCTGAACGCCAACATGGCTGTATGTATCACCCCGCTACATCAGGAGTGAATAATAATAGAATAGAATCTATTGTTATTCACTCCTGACTACATTATATCATCTATACATGTGATGTTCTATACATAGAACATCATGTCCTTCAAACTCGATGCCAATGTCATCAGGAGTGTCATAATATAGATTCTATAGTATATAATATAGAGACTATATAAACTATATATATATATATAGAGACGTATATACGAGACTGTCTTATAGGATATAGTATATATTATATTAAAAGTCGATATTATGACACAGGCTGCTGGCATTAGGGTCGTGTTGAGGTGGGGGGTGGCCTACACAGACGGGTGTGCGTGTTGCTGACAGGTAAGAGCTAGCCCACATTCGTGATAGCGGTAATGCTGCACTACCAGACCAAGCTACGGGCAAATCTGTATATATATTATATATCTAATAGGTGTCACACTTAAGGAAACCGAATTTGGGTTCCTATATTACCTATGAGGTATCCATTCTATATGGGATTCACTGTGTAGCTGCTATTCAAGGGAATTCCAAAATTTGTCATTTATTGACAAAGGTTGTCTATATAATATGTGTATGTGCCTGTTCTATAGGTACACTCAGGTGCTTGGTAACGCTAAACTGTACCTCTCTATTCCCTTTGTTTTCAAATCTCGTTCTCCGTCTTTCTTTCTCTCTCTTTCTCTCGCTCTGTCTGTCTCTCCCTCTCTTAGCCTTCCTCTATTCGTCTCCCCTATATTCTCTCCCTTTTCCTTTCTCTTCTACTTCCCTTCTCTCACTCACACCCTTCCAGTAGCTACATTCTCCCTTCTCATTCTCTGTTCCCTCACTCTTTCTAGTCGCACTGTCTCTCTCTATCTCTAGTCTCTCTCTCTCTCTCTCTCTCTTTCGCCTCTCTCTCTCTCTCTGTCTGGCTGTCGGGGCTGTCTCTCTCACTCTCTCTCTCTGTTTGGCTGTCTTCTGGTAAATCTCTCTATGTGTTGTCTGGGTTCTTGGGTTAATCTCTCTCTGTTGTCTGTCTTTGTTATCGTCTTTCTCTCTCTCTCTCTGGTCGTGTCTCTCTCTCTTATCATTATCTCTCTGTCTATCTCCCCCTCTCTCCTATAGTTGATTCGTTATCCACATTTAGACAAGACACAAGACTTTTCATGGTGCTGTTTTATGGTAAATTCTATTGAGAGTAACATGAATATTGATGCAGCAGTTTTCTCCTTTAGCACATGGCCTTAAAAAAGGCCAATTAAGTAACACGATATTGATAATTATCCAGTAACAGCTATATTTGAGGATATTTATTGTCAATTGTTTCATAGATGCCAAAAATGGAGTTCCGTTCGAATGCAAAGCCGTCAATGTATGCCTACCCTCTCCCGCTGGAAGAGAAGAAGGAGAAGGAGAAGGAGAAGGTGTCGACTGCAATCCTCAGCATCACGGCTAAAGCAAAGAAGAAGGAGATGGAGCGAGAAAAGCACAGAAGCCAGGACTCCAAGATGGAAGTGGTACAAACATCTTTCTAGAGACTCTAATTTTACATTTATTCTTACTCTTAGTTCCTTCTCTCCTCGTGGAGAATTGGGCAGGGGCAATTTACAATTAAAGCTGTAAAAAACACAATGTAAACCGATATTTGTGTGTATGAGTACAGTCCGACCATCGCTCTAATCCGGCCACGTCGGAACCGGCAGCCCATCGATATGGGATTTGGCCGGATATGAGAGTTATGCTCAAACACAGAGGCTAGGCTATTTTCCAGTAGGGTTATGCATGTGATCAATTATTTGAGCTCCGTTGCTATGATATTGTAAACAAACTGTCGTGTTTGATGGTGATATAAATGGAACTAAAATGATAAAAACAGAAATTTTTTACCGGAGGCATAGCGGACACAAGCGGACAACACACACACACGCACGCGCACGCGCACACGCAAACACACGTACGGTTGGTACATCGCGCAAGTTTTGGGCGAGATTTTTAGGTGGAAATGAATGAAAAACAGAGAACATACACTGCGAGATAGCGGCCGGTTAATAGAGATTTCCGAATAACCGATGGCTGGATAAAGGAGGTCGGACTGTACTTCATATGCTATTCTTGCTATCCCAGCATCTCGCCCTCACCATACATAGTAGGCTTTATGTCAAAACCCACGCATCTAAAACATGGAAAGGTCATTTATAAAAAAAAAAAAATATAATAACGATTATAGTCTACATTTTGAGCTGCAAACAGGCGAGAGATATAAATGACATATGAGATATTTATCATATTGACCTTTAAAAGTGCCAGCAGCCCAACCGATCATTATATATATTATATATATATATATATATATCATCAGTGTTTCCTTATCATGTTAGTAATACTCTGCCCCCAGGATGAGGCTGAGAAGAAGGAAGAAGGCGCTGATAAGGAAGCAACTGCCGAGAAGGAAGCAACTGCCGAGAAGGAAAAGAAAGAAGCCAAGTCGAAGGAGAGCCCGAAGGAGAGCCCGAAGGAGAGCCCGAAGGCGAAGGAGGAGGTGAAGAGCAAGGAGGAGAAGAGCGCCGGCAAAGATGCGGAGAAGTCCAAGGACGACGGGAAGGGAAAGAAGGAAGCTGACGGCAAGAGCAAGGAGGAGGAGAAGGAGGAGAAGAAGGAGGAGAAGAAGCCTGAGCCGGAGCCGAGCTTTGAGATGCTCGTGAACCCGGCGCGTGTGATGCGGGCGCAGGTAAGCACGCCGCGGATGCCACATCCATCTCCACGTCGTTGTACGCGCATCTCAATATATAATCTAATCTAATATAAAGCTAATATAATCTAATATAATCTAATCATATCTCGATCAAACGTCGAGATATCGAGATCGTGCTTCCGTTCACACGTCTGCCGCCGTTCATATTTTATCGCACACACACACACGCACGCACGCACACACGCACACACACACACACGCGCACACACACACACACACACGCACGCACACACGCACACACACACACACACACGCACACACGCACACACACACCTTCAATCGCATTCTCGCAGAGATATCGATCCCTCACTCAAACGAATTTCGGAAAATCTGAAGCTCGCGTAGTTCTCGCGGACAGGTTGTTTCGAGATTTTTTTAAGAGACGCTATTGATATAGTTATATAATATATATATATAGTTATATAACGTATCTGAACATAACTGTTCTGCTCGTAGGAAGCACATACGGTGCGTGCTTGCTGATGTGCGTCACGTTCTCTGTTTGTTGAATGTTGGATGTGTTTTGAGGGTGTAATGTATATTGCTCGTTTACCTCGGTACGCAGTTCGACCAGCAGTCTTTGATGTAGTCTGCGAAGTTGTCGTGTGAAGAATTGTGTTTGTGGGGATCGATTCGTTCGCAGCGTCTCTGGTTGAAATTAAAGTGATTGTTGCGTTTACGAAGAAGTTCGTCGAGGATTTCATCGGTTATATGACTTCGCTCGGAAAATTTGAGAGGAAAAAGTTTTAAAAGGTAAGGAAAGAATTCTAAATGGAGGTGTGTTACGTACGGGCACGTAGATAGATATAAACAGGGGGAATATTTAGCTGTTTGGATTGATGGTAGCGGCTCGTATTGGTGAAGTTCTAGGCGTCACAGCACGATGCATCCAGCTCTCATCGAACTAACAGCAGCAGCGGCAGCAACAGCAACAGCAACGGCAGCGGCGGCGGCGGCAGCGGCAACAGCAGCAGTAACAGCAGGAGCAGCAGTAGCAGCAGCAGCAGCAGAATAAGAATAAGAAGAAGCAGCAGCAGCAATAGCGGCGGTAGCAGCAGCAGTAGCAACAGCAACAGCAGCAACAGCAGAAGCAGTAGCAGAAAAAGAAGAAGACGAAGAAAAAGAAGAAGAAGAAGAAGAAGAAGAAGATGATGATGATGATGAAGATGATGATGATGATGATGATGATGATGATGAACCGACAGCATCAACAGCAGTAGCAGCTGCTGCTTGGCTTCTTTGGATTCTACTATCTTTGTCGGCAAACAGACGCGACCAGATTACTGTCTCGTATCGTCTGCGTGGCGTCTGCGCGTTTCCGGGTGTCTTCCTTCTTCACTGGCAATCGTCGTCACACTCAGGCACGTGTCAACACGCCTGCTGCAGCTGTGTGCGCGTGGCTAAAGCCCGGCGCACACGTGAGTAATTTTACTCAAGTAAAATGATGCATGCGTCAATATACTCACCCGAAATATTTTCAGCGTCCGCCGCACACGTGAGTAAAATCACTCAAGGTATAAGTGGAAATGTAGATCACGTGACTGTGCGCAGCCAATACTGGGCGCACAATGATGTAAACGCATGCGCTGTGAGTACCAGTGTTGAGTAAATTTACGCAGCTAGAGCGCATACGGTGAGTATTTTGACGCATGTGTCAAAAATTATCGAACATGTTTGATATTTATTGTTATGTTTGATAACGAAAATCTGCCGCACACGTGAGTATTTTGACGCATGCATCATTTTACTTGAGTAAAATTACTCACGTGTGCGCCGGGCTTAAGAAACGCGAACCATGTGTGATGTCATGAATAATTTATTAATCTTCAGTCGCCATCCTACGGTTTAAAAACTCGCGTCCGGACTTTCCGGACTCTCCATTTCCGTTCGATTACTGGTCACATGACCATTTCTGGAAAGTTCGGACTGTCTAAACTCTCCATTTTTTCGACCGGTGCGATAGCGGTGAGGTCACGTGACAAAATTGCGGAATGGCGACATTTAGTCAGAATTTCGGTTATTCAAACGTTTTTATCACATTTTTTGCACCAATCCGTGTAGTGCATCCGATTTTCGCGTGTTACTAATACTTACAATGTTGGCAATAAAACTATAGATCCCTTTTTCCTTCGGTATGATTGAAATTTATAGTATCATCGTTGAGAATTAATAACGTGGGGGCCGCCATCTTTGTAGTATTGAGAAGCTCGTTGAGAATCAACAACGTGGGGGCCGCCATCTTGGTTCTCTACTTCTATATTCTATTTCGCACAAATCCGGTAGGATCCGGAGAGGAGAATGTGGAGAGTCCGGACTGCATAATCGAATCGGCCACAGAGGTGATTATCGAAAAATAATCACCTAAGTCTCGACCAATCAGCGCGCAGGATTTCTTATAATCACTCGGGCGATAATACTAATGTGTATTATTAGCTCCTGATCTGGTCGATAGGCGATAGGATATATATATATATATATAAATATAATTATATATATAATATATATATAATATATATATAATATATATATATATACTAAGAGCTGATAATACCTCATATTAATTATCACCTTTAATTGTGATTAGCTTTTGTTATTACATAGTGGCAGACCGCCGCCGCAGCCATGTCTGTAGATGAGTGTTATAGCACCCAAGCATCTACAAGTGCAAACATTAGCGAACCCGCTTATTTTTCTTGTCTGAGAACGCTTATGGCTTTGTAAATCTGCCTGTCGGAATGTGAAGAAGGATCGGTAGCAGTTTAGATATTGCATGTGCAGCAGCCTTTTGCATATTGCTGGGAACACTTTATTCTCCTGCTGATTGACTGTAGCTTTAAGCTTCGGAGTGGAACTGCGTTAGAGTTTAGCAATACGCTGTAGTAGTTGTTCCGTTTACTCCGGAGAGAATTCGGCCCCGGGATACGACCATGCCTAAACGCAGAACGTGGTCGATTTCTACTGATTTCCGTTGAGCTCGAAGGCACATGGCATATCGGAGGATGAGGAAACTAAAACTCCACGGCGAAACTCGCGTGCGAACGAACATAATGACTGCCTTCGGGCACACCGATTTCCTAACCAAGTTTTTCCTTCCCCTGTCGCGTTTCCCTGCTGTCGCAGCAACCATAGTGAGTCGTAGAGCGAAACTGGCTTCTTTTCATATCCCACGAATCTTGAAATCGCGCCGCCGCAGAGATGGAAGGAATTCTTGTAGGACGTTGAGCATTTGTCGTAATTTCTCATATCTTGTTGGCGTGCGATCAGCGCCGGGGATGGCTGCTACGTCTGCCGAGAGTAGAAGTTACACTATCTAGGTGGCGCACCTATTTCCTGGTTAGATAACAACGATTAATGACCGTTTGTCCTTCCATCAGTGAATTTTTGTGTTGCAGAGTTCAGTCGCGTGTGCTTCTGATTCATTTAGGAACTGATATTTTGAAATTTGTTTTGAATCGGTAAATACTGAAGCACAGTGGTTATGTGTTTATTTAATGGGACACTATACCTTTGGCTTCACACACACTTCTGATTACACTTATGATTTCAGCAGTTGATTACTTTATTCAATGGGCGCTACTTTTTGTTACACACACACGTGGCTTCATATACCGTCACGTGGTTACTTTTTATTCAATTGGCACTACTTTTCTTACACAAACACAGTGGCTTTATATACCGCCACGTGGTTAAGCACTGGTTACTTTATTCAAAGGGCACTACTTCTTTCTCTAACACGTGTGGCTTCATATACGTCACGTGGTCACTCTATTTAATGGACGCTACTTTTTATTACACTCGTGTGTGCTCTCAGTTGCCATTGTTCGGTTACGTTTTTTAATGGACGCTTATGTTTTTATTGTTGCAGAACACCAGAGCAGGTGCCGAATGTCGTGTCGGCTGCTCGCCCGAATCCTACAACCCACACGTGCGCTATGGAGCTGCGATGGCGCTTTGTATCTCGTGCCAGGAACAGGCAACAAGGTAGTGATGCTCAGCGTGTTCTGCTAGCATCTATGACAAATACGACATACGCGTATACGCTCTCCTATGACACTATTTTGTCATAGCAAGAGTCTTCCTATGACAAATATTGTTGTATGTGTTGTGCGCATCATAGGAGTTTAGAGGACGCATTATGAACGCAAGCAGTGAATTTCAGCTGTAAAGCGGAACGAAGTTGACTCGCCAATATTTGTCATAGAAGAATCTTCCTATGACAAATAGTGTTCATAGGCGGCGTATATGCGTATGTCGTATTTGTCATAGATGCTAGGCAGAACATGTTGCAATGCTAATGGAAGCCACATCTTTCGCTCCGCTAATATGCTCCATTCGTGAAGTAGGGAATATGCAGCGCGTATATCTATCGCCCACTGGCATTGTCGATGTCATAGCGTCGATAGCAGCGTCGATGTCATCTGTCTGTGGCGTTGAGCGTTGATAAACATGTTTATGCTATTGTTTATCCGTCTAGCCATAGTAGTAATAGCATCATCAGTAACACAGCAGCAGCAGCCAATTACAATCGCAACAACCAGTACATCAACACATACCAATAATAGTCATCAATAATATAATAATAATAGAAGAAGAAAAAGAACAACAACAGCAATAACAATAACAACAACAGCAGCAGCAACAATAACAACAACAGTATCAGCAGTGACAACAACGATAAACAATAACAACAACAGCAGCAGCAACAATAACAACAACAGTAGCAGCAGTGACAACAACGATAACAATAACAACAACAGCCAGCAGCCAACAATAACAACAACAAGTTATCAGAGTGGACAACAAACGCATAACAATAAACACAACAGCAAGCAGCAACAATAACAACAACAGTTCAGCAGTGACAACCAACGCATAACATAACCAACAACAGCAGCAGCAACAATAACACAACAGTAGCAGCAAGTGCAACAACGATAACAATAACAAGCAACAGCAGCAGCCAACAATAAAACAACAGTAGCAGCCAGTGACAACAACGATAACAATAACAACAACAGAGCAGCAACAATAACAACAACAGTAGCAGGCAGTGACAACAACGATCACAATAACAACAACACGCAAGCAGCAACAATAACACAACAGTAGCAGCAGTGACAACAACGATTCACAATAAACAACAACAGCAGCAGCCCAACAATAAACAACAACATAGCACAAACTTAGGACAACAACGATTCACAATAACACAACAGTTAGACAGCAGTGACAACAACGATAACAATCAACAATAACAGCCAACTAGTGATGACAACAGCAAGCAGGCAGTGGAGGCAGCGCATCGTTACAAGATCGCAGTCGTGTAAGACTCCACGTGTCTATCCTACGCTCGTCATCCACTCCTACTCGCACTCTTCGTTATTATAGGACGCACTCAGTCTACTGGAGCCGATGGGCCAAGATCGCTCGTGAATTACGTTCGGCCAGGGTGTGCCTTACGCCTCCGCACTCAATCCTAATACAGCAGAAAGAGAACACTGTCCGAAGGTAAGTGACCGCAACGAGTGGTCTTCGTCTCTCGGCAGGACGCACGCACACACGCAACGCACCGCACGCACACGCACACACGCAGCACGTCACGCACACACACACACACGCGCGCAACACACACGACACACAATCGTCTGCTACCAACAACGCCACACGCACACGCACACAAGACACACACGCTACAACAAACGCACGTGCACGCACTACCGCAACACACGCACGCCACGCACGCACACACACACACACAAAACACATTTCACACTTTGACCGCCGTTGTCTGGTCGAGGGCAACTAATAAATCAGGGATCCTACACACACACACCACACACACACACACACACACACACACACACACACACACGACACACACACACACCACGCACACACACACACACACCACACACACACCCACACACACAAACAAAGACATTCCACACTTGATTCTGTGGCAACTTATAAATCATGACCTACACACACACGCACGCACGCACGCAACGCACAGCACGCCCACGCACGCACGCCACAGCGACACACAACATACACAAACACACATGCCAAAACACACACACACAAACACACATGCAGCAAACACACACAGCAAACACAAAATTCACACTTTGATTCTGTGCGGCAAACTATTAAATCATGACCTCCACATCATCCTTCTTAAACGCACAACATCCATGAATATTGGCACGCGCGAAGCAAAGCAAGAAGATTCGTAAATACGTGTCTCTTAGTGTTCTCCTTGAGAGAGAGAGGAGAGAGAGACGGGAGAAGAGAGAAAGGAGAAAGAAGACGAGAGAAAAGAGAGAGAGAGAAAGAGAGAGAGAAGAGAGAAGAGAGAGAGAAGAAGAGAGAGAGAGAGGAGAGAAAGAGAGAGAGAGAGAGAGAAAGAGAGAGAGAAGAGAGAGCAGAGAGAGAAGAAAGGAGGGAGAAGAGAGCAGAGAGAGAGAGCAGGAGAGAGAGAGAGAGAGAGGATAGAGAGAGAGATAAAGTATGTTCGTGTGGTTGTGTCGGTGTGTGTGAATCGTGCCGGCGTGCCGGCAGTGCGTGCGTGTGTGTGTCGTGCGTGCGTGCGTGGCCGCCGCGTGCGTGTGTACGTAGCTGATAGTCGGGTGAGCAATAATGAATAGATGATGATGATTGGATGATGATGATGATCATTGATTATGACCACTCAGCTCGGCCTGACATTGCCAGTCTTGCTCGTGGCCCCGTTGAATGTCACTGTCGTCACTGTCACTGTCGTCACTGTCACTGATCGTTTGTGTGGTGTGACATGGCTGAAACACTTCAGAGATCTAGTACACGAAAGATCATATGACAAGCTACGCAGGACGTGATGCAAAGTACGGAGGCGATCATCGCGCCCAGGGGATCTCGACGGCAGGTAAACGCCTTGTGCAATGGCTATAGGATTGATTTTCATGCGTATTTACAGTGAACATAGTACTATGCAATGGTATCATTGTATCAATGTTTAGCAATGGTGTGTATAATATTATATATATATATATACTTTATATATATATATATATATTCCTCCTGTTTGCCTGGTGTACGGTTATATTATTGAGTAATTAAATCAAGCTAACTAAAATAGAAGTCTATATATCAGCCCAGGTATAAGACCTAAACTATTAACTATAAACTAATGGGTCTTATAACTTATAAATAGGCAGGATAATTTGCTTGGTTTCTGTCCTGGGTAATCAGAATGGATATCTTTCAGATAAATTGGCATTTGCTTGATCGCCCTTTGAACTTTTAATTTCCAATGCTTATGGAAGTGTATTTTAGCCATGAATAGAAAATGTAATTCATTAACACGCACATGGCACACCACACACGACACACACACACACACCACACGCACGCCACGCACGCACACCGCAACGCACGACGCCACACGGCACACACGCAACACACACATACACACACACATACACGCACATTACACGCACATACACGCGCACACACACACACGCCACACACACACACACACACACACACACACCACACACCACACGCCCGACACACACGCACACACTGCCACACGACGCACGCACCACACACACACACACACACAACACACACACCACACCACACACAACACACACAAACACACACACACACCATACAAGCACGCACATGCACACACGCACGCACGACACACACACACACACACACAGCACGCACACGCACACACACCACACACACACACACACACACACACACACACACACAAAGCACACAAACAAACACACACACGCCGCACACACGCACCGCGCACACTCATACATATTATAAAGGATATCCGCTTTAGTATGCCTGATCACAATTCAGCTCAAGTTCAGTTTGCCACCATTAAGCATTATATTGATTGCCAACAAAATTGATAAAAATTTATTATACATGCGTGTCCGCAATTGTGGTGCATAAGTGATTAAGTGAGTTTAATTTATATGTACGACGTTTACATAAATGCGTGATGGTAGCAATGTGGAAAACTTACATACTTTCGTAACGAGTACGATATCATACAACTAAAGGCATCTTAGTCATATTACATATCATGCATCATCAACTATCATATTATATATGAGGAGGGCGCAGTGTAATACAGCACGCGTTTAAAACTTCGATACACGTCACTCACGCACTCACTCACTCGATTCGCTCACGTCACTCGACTCACTCACTCAAAACTCACCCACCCACCATCCATCACTCACTCACGCACTCACTCACTCACTTACTCATTCCACCACTCACTCACTCACTCACTCACTCACAGCTCACTCCTCGACTCACTCACTCACACACACCTAATCACTCACTCACGCATTCACTCACTCACTCACTCACCCATCCACTCATCTCGTCATCACTCAGCCACCATCACTCATCTCACTCGCTTCACTGCACTCAGCTCACCTCCTCACTCACTCACTCACTCACTCACTCACTCATTCACTCACTTACTCACTCATTCATTCACTCATTCACCCATCCACTCACTCGCTCACTCACTCACACATCCACTCACTCGCTCACTCACTCACTCCTCGCTCACTCACTTGTTCATTCACTAAACTCACTCACTCAAACTCACTCAAACTCGCTCGCTCGATTACTCACTCGATCATTCACTCGATCACTCACTCGTGCTCTCACCCGCCCACCATTCAAGAAACCTACAGGACAGTAGTTTTCCCATATTTTTTTACCTAGCTTGGATTGTGCGTGTGTTCGTTGCCTGAGCGAATGACATTGAAAGCGAAGCGATGACCTTGCCCTAGGCTAGTATCGACCCAGCCAATCCGCAACCAGTTATCATCGCAATTTTGTCGCGCGCTCTCACAACGATTCAGTTGCAAGGCCGAACAACAGAACTAACTCGAGGTCATGGTCAATCGCATTCAGCATTCTGCACAGCGTGTCTGCTGCATATATTAATTTACACGTGCA